CGATAACATTGAAATGCACTTCAACCTAAATTTATGAAATCCTTCCAAAATGCCAACTTTCTACAATAGGCGCCGAAACGCTCCCGGGTCATCCAAAACCCGATCCGGACATATGCCCAAGTCCAAAATCATCATACGAACTTGTTGGAACCTTCAAATCCCAATTCTGAGGTCGTTTACTCAAAAATTAAATATTAGTCAATTCCTCCAACTTAAAGCTTCCGAATTTAGAATGTTCTTTCCAAATCGACTCCGAACTTCCCGAAACTCAATTCTGGCCACACGTACAAGTCATAATACCTGAAGTGAAGCTACTCATGGACTCAAACAACCGAACGACGTGCTAGGGATAAAAATGACCGGTCGGGTCGTTACACTAGGGATGTAACCTTCACCTAGGTGTAAACCTAATGGGTAGAGTAAATCTATGCTTGTTTGGTAGATCGGGGTGTGTTATAACTCTCAATTCTCAAGTACCCACTAAATACCTATCGTCCAAAGAGTGATTATGCCTAAATAATTGATAAGAGTCCAAGTGGGATTATCCCTATCTCTAGTTCAAATGCTTTAATCAAACTAATCAAAACCTCAACTAGTTCAATTTCTTGTTAGACAAGTTTTCCTAAACTAGGTTCCTCTTTCTGAAGTAATAACTAAGTCAAATAGGCATGAATTGATGTTTGCAACCATTAATTGTAGATACAAAGCATAAAAAAGGCTAAATAACATACTCCCAATCAATAACAAACATTAATATTAAATACCCATAAGTTTTACACACTAGGGTTGGGTCACAACCCTAGATAAAATCTAGCTACTCATACTCATAGGCATGGAAAATAAAAAAGAAGAAGTAATTGAAGACATAAAGATAGAATTACAAAGTAAAAGTAATTGTTCTTCTCTAATTATAGTCACCAATTTCCCAAAATTGCTAAGTCTAACCGCTACCAGCTGCTACACTACAAAAGTTGCCCTAAAAGTGTGTCTCATCTATTTATAGTGCTCTGAAATTCACAGACAAAAATGTCCTTTGGGAGGTTTTGCGGCCGCATAATTCAGTTGTGGTCTGCACTTTCATCTAGTGCTCTTACAGTAGGAGGGATTCTGTTACCGCACTTTACCTTCCGTGGCTACATAATTTGGCTGTGGACCACGCTTCAAGGAGGCCTCAGACTTGGTCTTTTGCATCTTTTCTGATAATTTCAACACTTGTTAGTGCGAGCAGCTTCTACGACTGCACAATTTGGTGTGTGGACTGCGGTGCTTCTAAGAATCTTTAAAGCTTCGATGGTTAGTTTGCGTCCACACTACTCCTTCTGCGGGCCGCACCTGCATCGGCCGCAGAATAAGTTCTGCGGACCGCACTTTTCTTTGCACTTCTCCTCTTTGTCTATTTGAGTTGGGATATCTACCTTTTGAATTAGATTTATTTATTGAGCTCACATCCTCCAGCATGCTTGCAACTCACACATTTTTATTAGATTCTGAAGCAAAATTACTACTTTCGGACTAAAAACTAAAGCAAGAAAGTACTAATAAGTGGTTAAAATCCGCACTTATTTGATGACCAGTGCTATATGAGCTTATCAGAAATTTAGCTTAGTAACAATGAAAAATTATGGTAGTTAAGTAGGAAAATTTAGTGTGCATTATCAGATGATGTGATTATGGCTTCAAGCTAAGTGGGGGAGTCTGCCATCGACGATCGGATCATATATACATGTGTTGTTGTAGTTCCTAGATAGGATATGTTTGTAGATTAGCTATGATTTGAGAAGGGTGACATCGAGGATGATTTGGGCAAGGAATTGGCTAGATACATGATGTACTATATATTATTGATATATGGAGATTATGGAATGACTCGAGTTTGATATTCTTTGTGGGTATAGTGTGTAAAGAGAGAATTTATTCGGTTGCCTAAGGATCAGGTAGCTTCTTAGAGTAATTTCGTGCTAACAAGGCACAAGTTGTTCAGTGCGTATTGACTATGTGTTGGGGACTAGAGCAGAGTGTATGTCTCTCGACGATGGTTCTAGTGGGTTTAAGTTCCAGGATGGGGTACTTAAGAATTTATCGGATTTTGTTGTATGGCTAAGGATTTGAGGTCTGTATTGGGTTATGGCATATAGTTGGAGTACTCTGATATCATTATTGATTCTACAATGTAGCGTTAAAGACATAAACAGAACAATTTCAGATTCATTGAAGGGCTCTTTAAATCAGACATTTCGGTTTGAGGTATTTATGGGTTGATGAAAGAGAATAACATGGCTTACGAATATTTGGAAGGCATAGCTTCATGTGGGATCACTTGATATGGATTTTTCTCAAGGGCCATAACGTATTGGAAAGAAGAGTGATGCCTTGAAGGTAGGTCAAGAGTAATCTTACACATGCTAGACTAGACTGTCAATGCCGTGCGGAAAATCCAAAATAAAGATCATAATTTGCAACGAGAGAATTGAATGAAATCTTGCTTTTATTAACAGAGAATAATGATTACAAGAAAGCCAACATGGTGCAAGGGGGGAGGATACACCAATTTAGAGATTTGTTTGCTTGAATAAAACTTCAACGACTATACCCCCTTATATATGTCTTAAAAATATAAAAACTAAGTTAAATAATAATGCAAATACAAGAAGTAAAACTACTCTATATTTACATGGAAAGGGACCTAGGATTATACAAAGGAAAAGCTGGTTCAGCAGCTGGCACTTGTAGGGGCAACATCCTTGTCAATAGCTTCGATCAGTGTGCAATGCGTGCAGGGTATATGCGCACGGGTGCTGGTTGCGGGGCATCTGCAAGTAGGCATTGGCTGCGGGTTCGCGCATAGGGCGCTACCTGCAAATGGGCGCTTGTGAGCATCCCTGATGCTGGGCGTGAGCATAGGCTACCAGTGGGACAACATTAGCATAGACACACTTGTTACTTGGCGCGGCCAAGACCACGAGGCCATCCATGATAGTCGGCACTAAGAGGCTTGTGAGGGTGCCATCAGGCACATCCAAGGGGTCATGGGTCAAGGCTAGAAAGCAGCCTATGACATTCTCCCCTACCTGATTTGGCAACATCCTCGGCGCCTTCCTTGGGAGATAGTCTTCGATCAAGTCCTTAAAGGCTTTGAGTTATTTCACCCTCTCCCATGTGCTCTCCTCGGCATCACATCCTCTCCATTTCACCTGGAATTCCTGATGATCTTATCGTGAGGCATGAATCACCCGGTCATCAAGTATAGCTTCGGCAACTCTCTTCTCGGCTGATTTGTTTTGTTTGATACTAGATATGGTGAGCTAGCTCCTTGAGGGATCATCCTTGTCTTCCTGAAAAGGCTTCAACAAAATAACATGGAAAACATGATGGATCTTCCACCAAGATGGGATATCAACACCGTATGCCACTTTCCCATTGCGTTTCACAGAGGACAGCGGTCCAATGTATTTTTGCAATAGGCGAGGGTCGTTAGTCCCTGAAAATAGGTATCTATTTGGGATTTTCACCATCACTTTGTCCCCAACTTGATACTCCACGAAGAGTCAATTCTGATCAGCATGCTTTTTCATCTGCTTATGGGCCTTCTTAAGATAGCTTCACACTATCTCCAGTTCTGCTTCCATTCCTTCAAGAAGCTAGTAGCTCAAGGAGATTTTGACACATTTGGGGCATCTACAGTATGCGGGAGGAGTGGTTGCTCCCCGGTAACAATTTCAAAAGCGCACTTGTTGGTACTCGAGCTCTTTTGCACGTTGAAACACAACTGTAGCAGCATCCAAGAGCTTCACCCAATTCTTCTGCGAGCCAGTAACAAAGTGCCAAAGGTACTCCTCCAGCATGCCATTGAATTGTTCTGTCGGGTCGTCTTATAGGGATGAAAACTCGAAATGTGGCTCAACTTGGACCGGAGACAGTTGAAGAACTCGGTCCAAAAGTTGCTAGTGAAGGGAAAATTGCGATCACTAACAATATTTCTAGGCAACCCCCAATATTTAACAATATGAGCGAAGAAGAGTCGAGCCGTCTCTTAAGCAGATACATACTTTGGGGCTGCAATAAAAGTAGCATATTTGGAAAACCGATCTACCACAATAAGATTAGTGGTGAGATCTCTGACCTTGGGCAAGCCAGTAATAAAATCCAGCAAGACACTTTCCCAAGGCCTCTACGAGACAGGTAGTGGTTCTAGAAGGCCTACTTTGGTCAAGTAGTCGGATTTGTTCTTCTGACATACCAAGCAAGTCCTCACATATTGAGAAACATCATCTGCCATTTAGGTCCAATAATAAGTATGATGCAACAATGCCATTCTTTGTTCCTCTCCAGAGTGGCCTGCCCAAAGAGTATCATGACATTCTTTTAAAAGGGTTTTCTGTAGATCACCTCCCTTAGGAACATAAAGGCGATTCCATTTTTTTTCTAAGAAATCCATCCTCCATGTAAAATTGCCGAGTTTTACCCTGTTTTGCAAGGCTGATCAAATACTGAGCAACATGATCTTTGCTAAGCAACTCACATATCTGATCATTTATAGTGGTGGAAAATTCACTTCCCCTAAGGGCGACGAGTAGGCACACTGATGGTAAGCCTGTTCTTTGACTCAGCGCATCAGCAACTTGGTTAGTTTTCCCGCTTTTGTACTCTAAATTGAAGTTAAACTCGGAGAAAAGTTCCTGTTATCTAGCTTGGCAGCCATTCAACTTTGGCTGGGTCATAAAATGACTGATAGTCGTGTTGTCCGTCTTCACAACGAACGGGGTCCCCAATAAGTAGTGCCTCCAAAAGAGCAGGCAATGGACGACCGCAAGTAACTCTTTCTCATGTGCGGCATAGTGCCGACATCCTTCAGCTTACAACTCTCATAGGCAACGAGATGACCATCTTGCAATAGAACTCCACCCAAGGCAAAATCTGAAGCATCAGTCTGCACTTCAAAAGGCTTGGCCAAATCATGAAGGGCCAGTACCGGACTGCTGGACATTGCCATTTTCAACGCATCAAAAACCTCCTGGCGCTTGGGAGACTAATCCCAAGACATGGCCTTCTTTAAGAGATCTTTCAGTGGCATAGATATCAGTGAGTTGTTTCAAATGAACCTGTGATAAAAGTTGCATAGTTCCAAGGAACAACCTCAGGGCATGGATATCCTTGGGTGGCATCCAGTCCGTGATAGCCTGGACCTTATGTTGGTCCATATTGATTAGTCCCTTGTTAATGAAATGACCGAGAAAGTCAATCTACTTTCAAGCAAAGAAGAATTTAGAAAGTTTCACATACAATTCATGCTATCTTAGCTGTACCAGGATCATCCGCAAATGATCAAGGTGCTCTGTTAAGGTCTAGCTATATACACAATCCAAGTAGACCACCACAAACTCGTCTATGTATTCTCGGAATACTTGGCTCATCAAAGTGCAAAATGTGGCAAGAGCATTTGTCAAGTGAAATGGCATGACCAAGAAGTCAAATGACCCATACAGTGTCATACATGTTGTTTTATGTTCATCACCCTCAGCAATCGTCACTTGCCAATATCCTATCTTCAGATCAATCTTGGTAAACACAATTGTGCCTCCCAGTCTGTTGAATAGGTCACCCATCAATGGAATATTGTACTTATTCTTCATAGTAATCTTGTTCAGGGACCGATAGTCAACATAAGACCTTAAGGTGCCGTTATGTTTCTTTTGGAACAACACCGGCGAACTATAAGGAGAATTTGATGGCACAATAATTCCTCTATTAAGCATTTCTATCAACTGTCTCCAAAGATCTGTGATCTTGGGTTATGACATTCTATAGGGTGCGCAGGTAGGTGGCTTCATCCCCGTCACCAATTCAATCTCGCGATCCACAGTCCTCCTCGTCAACAAGTGCTTTGGCATTTCTTGCGGCATCACATCTTCGTATTCCACCAAGAGCTTGGGCGCTCAATGTCTTCAATACAAAGGGAGGCCAAAAGTGTGGGTTCCTAGTTTTGACTCCCTTTTTCAGCTGCAAGGCAGAAATGTTCCCATCAGGCATCTTTCCCGATATTGTTGGAATAAAGAAAGGCTTGGAGCCATTTTCTCCAAACATCAATAACATATCCACAAATGGCCATGGGATAGTGTTGGTTTCCCTTAAGAATTCCAAGCCAAGTATCAACTTAAAGTCGTTTATGGTCACCATAGACAAATTCATCTTCCCCTTGTAAGGGCCAATTTTTACTGGGACTCCCTTAGATATTCCGCCAACTGAACAGGCTGGGGAGTTGATTGCCTTGACACGACCTTGACCTTTCTCCATGACAAGACCAAGACGTTCCACCTTCGTGGAAGACAAGTAATTGTGGGTTGCCCCTGTATCCACCATGGCTGGAATAGGTTTGCCATTGATCCACATATCAACAAACATAAATTCCTTGCTTTTACTGGCACGGGGCTTGCCATCTCCTTTCAGCACCTTCTGAACAATAGGAACACGGTCTTTATTTTTTTGTATACTGGAACTAGAATCACCGACTTCTTGAGAAATAGAGTAGAGGGTATGGGAAAAGGCACCAAGTGATCCCTCTTCCTCTTGTTCCATATTTACATCTTTCTCTTCCTTTGATTTGCCCTCCTGAGTTTTTTGGGCATTCAATTTTTGCTGTTGAGGACACTCAGAAGCATTATACGGACCAGCACACTTAAAGAAGCATGTCATTGGCCCTGGTTTATAAGGAGCCTTTCCATGATAGTTGTTGTATGATGCAACACTTTTGCTGACATATAAGGAACTCTTAGAGTTGCTTACCCCTCGATCTCCCTCACTTATAATAGGACCTCCCCCACTCGGGTTGCCCCCTTTGACACTTCCTCCTCGAGAAGGTGGTTGTGGTATGTCCCTCAAAACCTCAACTTCATAATCAAAAAGGCACTCCGAAGCTTGTATTGCCTTGGTCACCGTATCCACCTGTTCCCTTTGTAATTCCATATGGGCATAGGGTTTCAATACTTCCATAAAGGTGAAGAGATTGTCCTTCTCCCCCATTTCTTGAATGCTCAGCATAAAGTGTAGAAAATTCACACACATAATCCCTCACTGTCTTAGTATGGTGCAACTCCTGGAGTCTTCTGCGTGCATTATACTCGACATTCACAGGGAGGAACTACAACCGAATGGCCACCTTCAGTTCTTCCTATGTCTGAAGAGTTTCTTTACCAGCCCTGATGGCTTCATATTCCACTCACCACCATAACATGGCATCCCCTTGCAAATACATAGCAACTGTTACTACTTTCTTTGATTCTTCTAACTCCCCAACAACCTCAAAATATTTTTCAAAGTTGAGGATGAAGTTCTCGACCTCCTTAGAATTTTGAGCACCATAGTAGGTTTCAGGTATCTTAATTTTGTGTGGTGTGGGTGCGAATTTCATTACACCTCCTCCAAATTACCGCCTCGTCCTCAGAGTAGGCCTTGCAGTGCAGCTTAGACAACGTTAAATTGACCATTCAAGTTGTCAATAGCTTGTTTCATCGCAGCCATCCTGGCCTAATCTTCCCCCCTTTGGGATAAGTCATCAACCCATTCTTGGCATAACATCTCAATCGTGTGTTGATCCCTCTCAAAGTCTCGACTCATGTTTGCAATGTCACCTTCGGCCTGCCACATCTTGCAGTCCAAGTCATCAATCCTTTCATCCATACCTTCCCTCAGATCGGGCACAATGTTATTGAGGAGTCTTAGTCCTCTGACTTCCTCTTCCAGATCCGCAATGCGGTCTGTATTAGTTCTCTGAACAACCATGATCAGCACTAATATTTGTCTCAATGATTTTCCCTCGTCTGATAGCCAACCCAGGCTCTGATAACAACTGTTACGCGGTGCCTTCCTGAGATGTCTTGGAAGGGTGACGTAAGGCAAAGAAACTGACTTTTATGTGATTACTTTCTGCCAATTGAAAGCCCCCTCCGCATGCTAGACTAGACTGTCAGTGTCGTATGGGAAAGCCAATGTTAAGATTGCAATTTACAATGAGAGAATTGAAAACAGAATTGAATGAAAGATTACTTGTATTAACAGAGAATAATTATTACAAGAAAGCCAATGTGGTGCCAGGGGGACGAGACATCAATACGGAGATTTGATTACTTGCAGAAAACTTCAATGACTATACCCCCATGTATGTATTAAAAATAAAAACCTAAGTTACAAGAGTAGACATAAATAATATAGAAAATATAATACAAATAAGAAGTAAAACTACTCAATATTTACATAGAAAGGGACCTAAGCTTATACAAAGGAAAAGCTGGTCCAATAACCGGCACTTGTAAGGGCAACGTACTTGTCAATAACTTCGATCAGTGCACGCTGAGCGCGAGCGCTGACTGCGGGGTATCCGCTTGTAGGCATTGGTTACGGGCAAACACATAGGTCACTGCCTACTGACAGGCTCTTGTGAGCATCGCTTGCTACTGGGCGCGGGCAGGGGCTACTAGTTGGGAAACATAGGCATAGACGCACTTGATGCTTGGCGCGGCCAAGACCACGGGGCCATCCATGACTCTCGGCACTGAGACCCTTGATAGGGTTCTATGGGGCATAACCAAAGGATCATGGGGCAAGGTTGGAAAACATCCCATGACATGGGGTATTGCATTCACTTTTGTGGTAGGACACCTGGGTTTGGCAGTCTGCGTGATTTGGTTGACTTGGAGAGATTCAGTTCCAGTGGCTTGATTATGTGTAAGTGGATTTCTAATAGCTTAAGGAATATTCTACTTGTGAAATGTATTTGATTGTGGGATTCTTTTACTTAGATATAGTATCATGATAGATGTGGTGAATCGTGTGAGGTTTGAATTTCTTTGCATAGGCGCAATTTGTCTTAAGGCAGAAGGATCATGATCAAAGGTAGCACACAAAATTTGAGATGATTGAGAGGCATAGTAGTACATATTTTAGTATCACCAAAAAAGAAAATGTGTTATAGAGGGTACTTACAATTGGGGGTCTATGGATAGTTTGATTAAGCACTACATGGAATTGTGTGCTGGTCAGTCATTGAGGTTTAGATTTTAGCTGTCTGATATGGCGGAATCTATGAATATGCACATTTTCGAGATGCTTGCAGGTGCAACTTTAGGGTTGTGTTTGGGTAGGCATGTTCATTAGGATGAGGGATCTTGTAATTTTAGAGTTTAGAGATTGAATTTATAGAGGTGAGACTATATCTTTGGCTATGTCCAATGGGAGTGTGTAAATGGTCAGATAGTAGGTTGTAAGCGTCTTCGATGGGTGACTTGAGAAAGTTTGTGCTTGTTCAAGCTTGTTGTTTATTGTATTTGTTGTGTGGTGATCTGCTTCAGTGTAGTGATATGTCATGTTGGAGGAGTGTAGTTTGAGAGGTTATTGGCATTATTTTATGTGTTGTGGGATGACAGACAAGTTGAGTAAGGACTTTTAAGGCTCAAGGATTTGTATATTCGTTGTATTGGGTTCCACGAGGTTTTAGCGAATCACGAATGGTGTAGTTGAAAATTGGGTTGATAACAGGTTGAATGTATAAATTTGCAGTTGAGGCTAGTGGTTTAGAGATCTCTTGTGTGTTCACGAGTAAGTGTTAGAATGGGTCCCTATTGGCTTGTGGAAGACTTATTTCTACTTCAGAATGATGCGAAATAGTTTGGGTATCTACTAATGGTATGTCGATGATAGGTATTCTACGGCGAGTCAGATTTTCTTATACAACGCGAGGTGTTATATGTTTATATTATCCGAAAAGAGTTAAAGTTATATAGGATACTTTTTACCATTAGATTTGTTAGTGTGACAACTCATCATGTGTTTGTAGGGGGTTAAGATTGGTGTTTCAATTTGAGTTCTTTTGAGATTGCTTAATTGTTGCTTAACGAACAAATGGAGTAGGCTAGATAGCCACTCGTAGGTTTGTTGAGGTAGAACACCACAGGTACTAGGAGTCATTGGACGATAAGTTTCTTTTCTACGGATTTATGTTTGAGTTACTACTTATATGGTCCAAAACATGTTGTTTTGAGGTTCCATATAGAATTTGGTGTGACTTGTTGGTTGAGCAGCTTGTATTGCATAATACGAAGTTTATGGACATGGAGATAAGCCTTATAACCAAATTTTCACACCCACCAAGGGCCTTAATCTCACATAAACACGATGTATAATCCTCAACTAGATGCAATAGCTCATGTATACATCCACATGGTAGCAATAACTCTGACCACAATAACTACCCTTTACCAAATGCGGTACCGGTAAATAGCCTCGTATCGACTAGGACCTTGCTCCAAATCTTCCCAATACTGATAATGCTGTAAGAACATGTGAAACTTATAAGTACTCACCCGACCAACAAGTCACACCACATGCTACCTGGGCACATACATCGCAATCCAAACCTAACAAGCATAATTCAAAAATAACTAAACATTGAAAGAGAAACATATGAGAGAACTATAAAACAAGTCCAATAGGTACAACTCCCCATCGGTACCATACTACGGATCCAATCCACAAAGAAGAAGCAAGACACACGCAACCACCACAACGAATCTTATCCTAACATAACCCCACCGTGGCATCTAGCCCGGTACAAACACACCTATCCACAAAAAATGCAAGGTTCCTATTCTCAACTCTAAATCACAAGTAAGATAACCATCCTGACAACTAAAAACCTTCTACTACTTAATCCCATAGAACAAAACCATGACACAAACTTCCCACACCTGTAGAGCACCCAAAT